TTAATAATAGTGTCAGGATTATTTTCAGGTGAGCGGTTTAAATTATATAAAGGATAGGACCAAGGATACTCCCTTGCGGTACGCCTTGTCTTGTCCTCCACTTTTACATCAGTCTTCGATAAACTGAAGGTGTTCCTAGATGTTATAGGTAGCTTGGATAGGATTTGAGTTAGGGGATAGGATTGCGGTGTCGTCTGCGTAGGTTGTGATAATATTGTCAGGATTATTTGCAAGGCAGCGGTTTAAATTATATAGGGTCGAGGATACTCCCTTGCCGTACGCCGGCCTGTATCTGTTTGTCTTTCGCGAACTCATTGCTGCACCTCACTCTGGAACAGCGATCAGTTAGATAGGATTTCAATAAAAGGTAATAACGAGAAGGTAGGAAGTGCTTAAGATTTAAAAGTGCTTGGATGCCAGACTCCGTCGAAAGACTCTGCTACGCCCGAGAACGCGCCCAGGCAATACTCCTTTCTTTAGAGCCGATGAGATGTTATCGACTATTCTTAAAATTGTTGGATAGTAGAATGTTAAAGACAGAAACCGAATTAATATAATTTAAAATCTATAAACGTGGGCAATTCTGCTTTTTCAGCGTAAAAGTATACCGAGTTCATTTTTCTTTGTTCAACGCCTAAATTAACCTGCTATTCTTGCGAAATATAAACAGATAGGAAATTTGACTTTATCTGTCAATCATATCTTTCACATACAGAATTTGTTTACAACCCAAGATGAAACATTAGCCTATTTCACATCAAAATGAGCTCTACGTTGAACAACTAAGTTTAAATAAAGCAGCTAATTTGATAATGATTTTTGATTGTTTACTTACAATAATCCGACTATTTGTTCGACAGGGTTCTCGAACATGACCGTCATTTCCGTCTGTCCGTTTATAGTATACAGTTTAATCAACAGAAATAATTACAGACGGGTAAATGCAATTTACGGAACGCGTGAGCAGGCCGATGATGGTAAATTAGGTCAAAGTTCATTACGAGGACAACCGCGTCTGCCGAGAAACGACCTCACTCGCGGGAGATCGAAGAAAGCCGGGCGCAACAAGTGTATCGACGGCTGTTGCTGAGAGGCTGTTACGCCGTCCCTTTTCCCTTTACCCCTTTTTCAACATCATACCGCCAGTCCTTTTCAATCACAACTCTTAACATGAGCCTAATCTTTTTTTTATCTTTAAAAAATCAAGTTTATGTTTAAACCTCATTAAACGTGATTCTTTATGACGGTAACATTTCAAAAACTTTCAAGAAGAATTAAATGAATTTCCTTTTAGTATCACTGTAATGGTTTCTTATATCCATTTCGCTCATCACTTTATTTATTTGTTTCCATTACACCACCACACTAATTTTTAATACCGACACACACACACACACACAAACAAACAAACACATCATCCTTGCAGGCCAAAAGCCCATTTGTAAGTTATGTCGGGTTCGAATGCATGGCCGCTGGATTCGAACCCGGACCTTTACCTTTCAATGATTAGCGCCATGTCAGCGCCTAAATATATATATAGCGGCCACCGACGCCCCCTATATATATCTTTATTACACTTACTATCTCCCTTCTTTTTATTGGCTTATCTATCTATTGGTTCTGTGAAATGTCCGTTTCCAAGGTAAAGGTTATTTTGTAAAATTGTAAAATTACTACATAAATAATAAAATAATAATCATTTTATTCTAACTATATATATAAAATATGCATATTTTATTTTTAACAATTTCTTTCGTTAACTCTCTTATCTTTTTGTCCCTTTCTCGTTCTTCCTCTCTCTCTCTCTCTCTCTCTCTCTTCCTCTTTCTTTCCTTCTTTTTCAATATACCCCCATATTACACTTATTCTTTTCCTCTTTTTCTATTCCAAGCCTTTTTTGTTTTGCTGCATCAAAATAAAAGGCATAATTTGAATGTAATTTAATATATTACAATTAATTAAGGTTTTTAGTTGAAATAAAAAAGTCAATGGCACGAGCGGGATTCGAACCCACGATCTTCGGCTTGATACGCCGCTGCTCTACCACTTGAGCTATAGTTACCTCGATCCACTCGGACACAAACTTCCCATCTCAACCCAACCTTTCGAATTTCCCTCCTTTTTGCCATTTTTCCGTTAATGTCCGGCTGGGGAACACAAGCCCCGCTTCCCATCATCCCTTCCACCATACCATACCGCGATCCACTCGGTCACCAACTTCCCATCTAAACCGCACCGTTTGAATTTTCCCTCCTTTTTGCCATTGTTCAAATGTCGAGTAATCGGGTTGGATTCTCGACGACAAATGAAATGGCCACGGAGAGCATTGGTGAAGTATACTTCATTTTTAATCATTAAAGTCACTAATTTCGTTGGTGTCCGAGTGGATCGAGGTCACTATAGCTCAAGTGGTAGAGCAGCGGCGTATCAAGCCGAAGATCGTGAGTTCGAATCCCGCTCGTGCCATTGACTTTTATCTCAACTAAAAACCTTAATTAATTGTAATATATCAATTGGTCAAGCGGATCACGAAATTAGTGAATTTAATGATTTAAAATCAAGTATACTTCACTAAAGCTCTCCGTGGCCATTTCATTTGTCGTCGAGAATCCAATCCGATTAGACGACATTTGAAAAATGGCAAAAAGGAGGGAAAATTCAAAGGTGGGGTTGAGATGGGAAGTTAGTGTCCGAGTGGATCGAGGTCACGATAGCTCAAGTGGTAGAGCAGCGGCGTATCAAGCCGAAGATCGTGGTTCGAANGTAAGTGCAAACTTAAAAGTATCCCAATCCCCTCCTCGGATTCACTCTTTAAATTTTAACATAAAGGTATTTACCCATTCATATACAGTCCACTTAACGAACAGTTACTTTCCACATCTTGGGTGAAAGCTGGACTTCTTCATACAGAAGAGGAAGCGAGAAGCGCTATATCGGTCGACTGAGGTTCAACAAGGGAACTGTATCTCTGTGCTTTCTTTTCTCTTTCTCTTTTTTTGCTGTTTTTCTTTTATTTTTCTTTTTGTTTCGGGTTTCGGTAGTTAGCCTTCCCCAAAAATACAGTGGCGCTCAAGATAACCTCTGTAAATAATTTTCAGCCCCTCTCTCACCGAGCACCGCTTGTCTCTCCCTTCTACGAGAAAAAATTCCGAATATATCTGGGTACCAAAAAAGAATGGAAAAGAAAGGGAAATAACTCCTTTAAAAATGGCACCATCCTCTGGTACACAGATGGATCTAGAACACAAGAAGGTACGGGGGCAGGAGTATGTGGACCCAGAACCAAATACTCAGAACCCACGGGAAAACACACAGTCTCTTCCAAGCTGAGATTCATGCAATTGAAAGATGTACCCAATTCAATCTAAGTAAAGGGTACAAAAACAAGAATATAGCTATCATGTCAGTTAGCCAAGCAGCCATCAAAGCACTAAGCTCAAGTATCATTAGTTCAAGGATGGTGCTGAACTGCAAAACCAAGGTAAACATATTAGGTATGTAGAATAAAGTCAGCTTCTGCTGGGTCCCAGGACACATGGGAGTAGAAGGCAACGAGAAAGCGGACACCCTTGCAAGGAAAGGGGCTGCCACACCGCTGATAGGACCCGAACCCTTCTGTGGCATAGGAATCCACACTATTAACGAATATCTCAGACAGAAGGACAAAAAGAAAATGAAGGAACAATGGAATTCACTCATTGGACATAGACAATCCAAGAATCTTCTAACCAATTTTGGCAAGAAAGAAATCACAGAATGTGCCAAAGGAAGCAGGAACAGACTGCGAATCCTAATAGGATGCCTAACAGGACACTGCAGATTGAATGGACACTTAAAGAAAATTGGAACAATCCAACATGGCACATTCAGATTCTGCAAGGAGGCGGAAGACACACCAACACATTTACTAACAAACTGCGGAGCAACATTAGCCAGCAGAAGGAAATGTTTTGGATCGAAATCGATGTGCTTTAGGCAGAGAACAAGGGATACAATAGCTCTTAAAGAGCGAGTATACTATACCCTTAAAAATCACATCTACATCTACCGTCAACGTATGTGCAGCTGTCACACTGCTTTTCAAAATAGGCAAGTTTCATTCTTCAAAAATTCACTAGTTTTCGTGGTCCGCTTGACCAATTAATATCTTTCAATTAATTAAAGTTTTTAGTTGAGATAAAAAAGTCAGTGTTCGAGCGGGATTGAAAAAGAGCAAAAAAGAGGGAAAATTCATAGGGTAGGGTTGAGATGGGAAGTTAGTGTCCGAGTGGATCGAGGTCACGATAGCTCAAGTGGTAGAGCAGCGGCGTATCAAGCCGAAGATCGTGGTTCGAATCCCGCTCGTGCCATTGACTTTTTTATCTCAAGTAAAAACCTTAATTAATTGTAATATATTAATTGGTCAAGCGGACCACGAAATTAGTGAATTTAGTATTTTAATGTGATAATTCATTAGAAGAGATATGTGTCAATGAAACGATTATAACTCAAATTATTATGCAATCAATAAATGTAAACTGTAAATCGTTCATTGTAAACGTAAGGCATCAAATCTTCATTGTTCGAGGCCCAATTTGCAATTCACGGTTGGAAACCAATGTACAGCTTACTCAGTTTTCATGGATTGTGGCATTCCAACAATTAATTACTCGGAAACTCGGATTAAACCGTAATGGTCGCTGGTCGTTGTTTACAATACTGTTTCGTATATATCTCAATTCGAAATGGGCAAAAGTTCGTTGAAATATCCACGGATTATTTTTGAGATTTACGACCGTCGTGTCCTACATCGGGAACTACCCTTTAAAGCTCCCTCAAACTTAAAAGGGCTTAGCGACCTTTCGTCGATACGGTGGTGTGGAAAGGGGCCTCGCTAAAAATAGTCTACCTAACTCTTTAACTATTTCATGTGGGAGTAACTGCTAAATTTGAGATGTCGAAGTTTTTACGACGGTTTTCCTCTCTCTCACTCTCTCTTACTGTATTTTTTTTATTCTTACCTCAGCAAGTGCTTTGAGGTCGTGCTGCGACAGGCGTAGAAGTTCGCATGAGGTTTTCGTCACGACTGTCGTCTCTCTTGGAGAATCTTGAAGGACGGACTCGCCGAAACTTGACCCCACGCTCAAAGTACACAAGCTCACAATGTTCTGAAAACAGAAATAAAGTTGTAGCCATTAAAATTTATATTTCAGCGCTAATAAGTGTCTTACGCAGCAAAGACAACATACAGTTATTGCATATTTATGTCTGACAGAAATCGTGGCTAATGTAAACAATGAAGACTTTATGCCAGAGATATATATTTCAACCACGAGCTATTTGTTTCAACACATGTAAACATTGGTCATTTACAAGTACAACCTTGTTCGTCACCTGACGCGAAAAGTGGCCATACCTTTCTGCCATTTCAATAACTGTCTCGTAAATATTAGTGACAAAAAAGAGTGGTTTAAATCTAGACAAAATAAATTTAAAAATAGAATTTTTATTTAATTGCAGTACCTACTTACCAGATGCTAAATATCGAAAAATTACAGCAAGACGATCTGTTACACTAAGAGTTTTTCTGAACTTGGTATCTTCCTTTGATATAAGGGGACCAATTCTACAAGATTATATTACTTTTTTTTTTCTTCTCGGTTAAAAAATTTATAAAGAGCGGGAAGCATGCGCGGCCTAAGAGATCCTCACTCGGAAAGCATTGTGTTCGAGGCTAGTGGGCTCCGGGTTAGTGACGTGCGATACCAGAAAATATTCGATACCGGTACTCGATGCTGGTGACGAAACAAAAATATTCGATACTACTCAAGTTTCGACAGAAATTATTCGATATTAACGAGTATTTGCTCATATGAGTACTTCTTCGTTTATTCATAAATGATCAACTAACTTATGTGGGCCCAATTTAAAACAACGACCTCGCACCAAATTTTACATTCAATTTGGTGCGAGGTCGTTGTTTTAAATTGGGCCCACATAAGTAACAAAAAAAAAGAGCCAATGTGAATTCTCTAGGCCCGGACCTTATTGTGGCCTAGAGCTTTGCCAAAAAACTAGGTAATGGATCCAAAATGGATTCTTAATGAGTGCAAAACCTGTTGGAAAAAGACCTCAGTCATCAGGCACGCGAAGAGATTCATAGAAGGGCGATCTGCAAGACTTACAATGGAATTACTGGAAGGTAACCGTAACAGAACCAGGAAGCTGGTCGGACTCCTGTCAGAGCACTGCTGCCTAAGAAGGTGCATGCACCAGATAGGAGTATAAACGGAGAAACACTGCGCAGATACTACCAGGAAAAAAAGGAGACTCAGAACACGTTTTATGTTCTTTTGAGATTCTATGTAGGTGTAGTTTCTTGAAACTAGGAGATGAATAGCCTCAAGTACGACCCTACACAAAGTAGCCGCTGGCAAGGGTATGGAGGTTGATTAGCAAATTGAAGCTAGCCGCTGAATTTTAGAGAAGCACAAGATCAAAGTCGATGTGTAGAAGGCCTTGTGGCCACCTCTTTTATCCCTGTCCCTACCTTTACTTCTCTTACAAATGAAATGGAACAAAACCGGTGTAGGGTATATGTTGCATTTTGGGTAAAGAAAGAGCCTCTGAAGTTTGACAAACTATTCGCAAATCTATGTATATATTGTAACATAAGTAAATATTTAAATGAAATAATGGAATTTATATACAAATAGTCAGATAATAGTGTGATAAATGCGCTGATTAATTTATATTGCACTAGATAATCTAATTAAAAAAATTAATAGTAGAACTGGTTTAGATGGTTGGACAGTTTCAATCGATCTAGTGACACTAAATGGAGAGTATGGGAGAGAGATTGAATCAGAGAGTGTGGACGGTAATCAAAGGCGAATCAATACAATCACTTTGAATTTAAGATGTGCCACATGTCAGTAATTCCCATTTCGCCAATGAAATTAAATTGCCGAGTGTTTCAGTCGTTTCAATAAGTGAGAAAATGATATTGAATTTTATATGCCAGGACTGACACTGTTGGCATTATTAGCGTTAACATTAGTTAAAAAACGTCCTCCGGCCCTGACCCTTTTTCCCCCATCAACGGGCCCAATTTAAAATAACGACCTCGCACCAAATTGAATGTAACGAGCGGAGTTTTTGCCGTGGATTTTAAGACAATGGTGAATTAATTCCTTAATTCAGATGAGCCTGGAATCAGTGGCTCATCATCACCATTGTTCCGAGTCGTTAGAGCCAGGACGAAATTTATAACGTGGTTCGGTAATAATTTATGTGCAAGTTTTCAGTACGATCAGGAAACGGTCAAAATTAACTCATAATACTGAAAGATTTTGAATATACATATTTACGAGGGACCGTATCAACTTCAATTAAAAATAACGTCAAAAATAAACACCGGGCACTATGTGTATATAAGGAAGATATATGTATTTTTATCATTATATTAATTACAATATACTTATTTTACTGTAAACCAAATATTAAACAAGACCAAAAATTCATGTTTATTTAACAATAGCGATTTAACTGTGACGATTTAAAGGAAAAGTAAACAAAACATCTGAAATGAATTAGTGATAGATTAAAATTTAGCTAGTTTTAAGCATACAGTACATAAGCGACCGGATTTAGTATTGTGAAACAGAAACCTTGTTCATCAAGAGAGGTTTGAAGCTGTTCAACGCTTGTTGGAGGTAGTAATGTAGATACCAGAAAGTATTCGATACCAGTACTCGATACTGGCGACGAAAGAAATATTCGATACTTCTCAAGTATCAACAGAAATTATTCGATACTAACGAGTACTTACTCATATTAGTACTTTTTCGTTTATTCAAACTTACTATTGGACTTTGGTTAAAATACGTTCATGCGTTAATATAATCAAGAAATTGCAGGGTTTTTTTAATTTTTAAGTAGTTTTTTCATACAGTGGGTACGTACTTTAGAACAAGGAAAAGTTGCCAAGACATTTCAACATAATTGATATTTCAATTTTTATCGTTATCGAATTTTGAGAAAATTGATCAAATGTTTTAAAACATAAGACGTACTCCTACTGTATTACCAGAGTTTACAAGATGCCGGCGATTCAGTTTTTTTTTTTTTTCAAAATAACCTCGTGCCTTACTTTTGGGAGGAGACAAGATTATGTATCTACCTACGAGAAGGAAGGTGAACACATTTCAGGGACTTCAAGACAAAAACATTTTATATGAAATTACTGAAATTGAAAGTGCGAGGGGCGACGCGGGAAAGAATTATGCATTATCAGAAGTATGAGCAGACCAACCACCAATTAAAAATCTCTATTAACTTTGTTATACATGCCACTTGTAGGCGCTCCTAACAGTGACTAGTCAGCTCCCAGTTTAGTGAAAGGTAAGTTTCGGACGGTAAATAACAATTCAATATTACTTGAACACTCGACGAAAAATTTATTTGAGTATATTTTCCGATACTACAAAAGGTATTCGATACAGTACTTGCATATACCAAATGTATGTATACTAAAAATACTCGGTATCGAAAGAAAATATTCGATACTTTACTCATATCGATTGGTATCGCACGTCACTACTCTGGGTTCGAGGTTTGAAAAAAGAAGGCGAGTAAGTCAGCGAGTGTCGTACGTAGGTAGTGGTGGTCTCCGCGTGAAACTAAAAATAAAAACAGAGTTTATGTGTCCTCTGTTTGGTGCTGGTCCGGAAGTGTGAGACCAACAGTTCGACAAATTGACTACGGCGCAGCCCGAAGTCTGAAGGTTCGAGGCCTCTTTTATAACACTTTATCAGGGCTGATAATACAGAACCTTAGTTATTAAGTGTATGTCTCCGTTTAGTTAATGTAAAAAAATGTAAATTAGTTCTAAATAAAATAAGTTAGTTGTATTTTTTCCTCTTTTTTTATCATAGTTAAACCTAAATATTTATAATAGTGTTAATGAATTAACTGCTGGAGAAGCAAAAATCCTGCTAAAGGAAAAAAGAAGGTAAGAAGGTTACTGTTTACGCCGATCGCCCTTTGAACCCTTCTGGAGGTCTCCGGCCGGTCGGCGAGTCAGTTGTTGCCTAGAGCCAAAGCCGAGAACACCGTTATACCTGCCTATCTAAACCCGTGTTGTGCGCCATTGATGGTTTTTACGACCTGCCCGTGTCCCTTAGGAGTTCGGTACCAAACGTCTGAATCCGCCGGAGACTGTGGGGCCCTACCTAGTCGAAGAAAGAAGAGGACGACTGGGGCCGAGCTGCTTGAACTCGTTGGGGTAAGTGCAAACTTAAAAGTATCCCAATCCCCTCCTCGGATTCACTCTTTAAATTTTAACATAAAGGTATTTACCCATTCATATACAGTCCACTTAACGAACATAAATTTTGGTCCCACTGAACCGGATAAAATTGTGTAAAAAAAAAAAAAAGAGTGAATAAGAGGGGACCGTGGAAGGGTCCGGACATTTGCAATTTCAGTACCTGAATCTGCAGGCAGCCTTACGTCATTCGTGATCATCACCTGGACCACTTGTGTCTTGCCGGTTCCGGGTGGGGGCTTCTGGAGGTCAAGGGAGCGAAGTGAGTGTAACCTTATGTATGTATTACCTTCTACAGTGTTTATAAACAACCAGTTACTAACGTACAAGAATTACCATTTGTTTATTAACCACTAACAAAGGTGTTGGTTGAAGAATTTCTTTTGTGTTTTAAATTTAACAATCTTGATAGCTTTACAAAGTTAACATGTCTCCCAAAATGGAAATAGAGTCAGAATATAAAACATTAATTTCCCAAAGAGAAAAGGTTTTTACAAGTGTGCAATCAATACTCAATTATTCCAAATCCCTGTCATGTGACAAGGTAAAATCATTTGTTCCGAGATTGGAAAGATTGAGTACATTAGAAGAACGGTTTGATGATATCCAGAATAGAGTTATCACATTTAATTCAAAAATCGGGGATCCTTCTTTTATCATTAAAGTAAATGAAGTTCAAACCGCGTTTGAAGATATGGTCTTTGCGGCTAAGGCTGCTTACTTAGAATATGACAAAAAGGAAGAACCACAGGTTAATGTATCACAGAATTCCGAGACCCCTGCTTGTGATAACTTAGCGAAGTTGGAGATAGCTCCCTTCTCTGGCCGAATTGTCGAATGGCCAGGATTCTTGGGCCTGTTTGAATCGTTGATAGATAGTAATAAGCGTTTGACTAACGTTCAAAAATTTCAGTACCTTCAGACATTAGTGGTCGGGGATGCACAGTCCGTTATCTCTCCGTATCACTTATCTGAACAAAATTACGCGTTAGCTTTAAATGCTTTAAAAGAGCGTTATCAAAATAAACGAAGGTTAGCACAAATGTATATAGATAATATTTGTAACTTTGGTAAAATGCCCAATGGAAATGCACATAATTTACAAAGATTTCTGAAAGTTCATACAACTTCGGTAAATGCCTTCAAAGCGTTAGAAATTTCTGATCAAGCTGATTATTTGTTTTTACATCTGGCGTTACATAATTTAGACCACAAAACCCGGAAGGCTTTTGAGAGTAAACACTCGTCAAATTCAATCCCGCTTTATAAACAACTTGTAGAATTTGTTATTGAAATGTGTCGAACTAATGAACTGTTAGAATCAACCGTAAAAGAGCCTATTAACAACCGCAAACCAAGCATGGTCTTGTTTACCAAACCGGTTGAAACTAAAGACAATGCTGGGTCTACTCGAGTCTCTGGCTCGAATAAAAGTTTGCACTGCCCGTATTGCAACAGCTCTCATGCTGTGTCCAAATGTACAGCCTTTCGTGCCCTCAGTGTTGATAGTAAATATGAATTTTTGCGGAAACGTCATTTATGTTTTAACTGTCTAGGACCACACCAACGAAAACATTGCAAATCTCAACGAACTTGTACACAATGTCATAGTAATAAACATCATAGTTTGTTACACCCATCCAATAGTGAACCTGAAGGTAAATCATCAGTGCCCACATACGAGTCTGAAACATCCCTATTTTCTTCTGTAACGGAAACACCGTCATCTCTTCGCAGATCTAAGGTTTCTGGTACAACGGTAAAACCCAAATTAGTCTTGTTGGGTACTGCCAAGGTTTTGATCCGGGATTCGTGCGGTCAATTCCAGTTAGCTAGAGCTGTGTTGGACTCTGGTTCTCAGGTGTCTGCGATAACTTCGTCATTAGTTCAAAAGTTGGGACTTCAACTTGTTAAAGTCGATTGTGAAATAACTGGTATTTCCAATGATCGGGTGAAAGTGTGTGGTGCCGTGAATTGTGTTATTGCCTTACGATATGATTCGCATTCGTTCCCGTTAAATCCTATAGTGTTGACGACCATTGCCCAGTCTTTACCCAGTTTACCCGTATCAGAGCTAAAAGATCAATTTCGGCATTTTTCCCTTGCTGACGAGGAATTTTATTTACCTTCCAAAGTTGACCTTCTTTTAGGAGCTGATATTTACCCAAAGCTTCTACAAACCCCTAACCCAATAATAATTCCAGGAGAACCTAGTCTGTTCCAAACCATATTTGGTTTNTTGTCTGGCTCTTCAGACCCGACGACCATCCTCGCGGGGGGGGGGGACAAGGAAGATTAAAGGGTCAAAGTCCAGCTCATCAAACACCATGAACAGGGAAAGTGGAGGGGGTAATGTTTGTCTGCCCCAAGTGCCCTATATACTACTGATGATGTCTTATGTGGTGCTGATACGGTTGAAGTGGCTTGTCAGTTGCAGGGGGAATTAGTCCAATTGTTAGCGCTAGGGGGTTTTAACCTCCGCAAATGGTCTAGTAACCGGGAATCTGTGCTGGAAAATGTACCGCCCGAACACAGGGAGTCAATTCTTTCTTTTCCCTCTGACTGCCAAATCATTAAAATTTTGGGTTTGATTTGGGACCCACACAAAGATTGCTTTGGTTTTCGAGTATCCCCTTTTGAAGGGTTGATAAGTAAGCGGAATATCCTCTCTTACTTAGCACGCGTATTTGATCCTCTAGGATTCCTGGCACCTGTTACTCACTATATGAAGTGGTTCATCCAGCAACTATGGCTTTCTAAGCAAGCTTGGGACACGCCACTGACCGGGGATGAATTAAAGCTCTGGGAGCACTTTGTGGAAGATTTCCATAAAGTAGATCAAGTGCTAATTCCAAGATATATCGGACCACAAACCGGAGAGTCGTTGTTGGTAGGGTTTTGTGATGCCAGTGAAAGGGGTATTGCAGCTTGTATCTATCTCGTCACCAGGGAAAACTGTACTATCAATAGTTCCCTCCTGGTAGGAAAAACCAGGGTCGCCCCATTGAAACCATTACGGATAAATCGCCTTGAGTTGTCCGGGGCTCATCTCTTATCGCGATTATTGAAATCGCCGGAAACGGGCCTAAATAATTTGAAACCAAAGAGAATTCAGCTGTATACTGATTCTAAAACCGTATTAGCTTGGTTGAGGATACCCCCTTATCGACTAGAAACCTACATAGCCAATCGAGTGAGCGATATTCTTGAATTCACATNCCTTTTTAGCCGCCTTGGATAGATTCGTGGCCCGTCGAGGCGCTCCTCACACTATTTATTCGGATTGTGGTCGCAACTTTGTAGGAGCCGCTCGTTATTTGACGGAAACTCTAGCTTTTTTGAAAAATAACTCCACCCAAATTGGTGAATACTGCTCTGGAAGGCAGATTAAATGGCAATTCAATCCGCCCAAGTCCCCCAATTTTGGTGGATTGTGGGAAGCCGCCATAAAATCTGCTAAACTCCTAATGAAAAGGACTATAAAGGAAACGGTACTTACCTTTGAAGAATACTACACTCTATTTTCTCGCATAGAGGCTATCCTGAATAGTCGTCCTCTTTGTAATTTAAGAGATGATCCTGACCATAATGACTACTTGACTCCGGGTCATTTTCTTATAGGTGCTCCCTTGCTCGCACTGCCTGAGAAACCCATGCCTGAAGATTCATCATTACACAAACGTTGGACACGTTTACGCATTGTTACCCAATCCTTCTGGAAAAGATGGACCCGTGAATATCTCACAACTTTGAACAACCGAGTCAAATGGGCTACTCATTGTAAGCCCCTTTGTAATGGCGAGATAGTTTTTTTGACTGACCTGACGAGCAACCCTCTCGACTGGCCCATGGGCAGAATTACCCAGTTGCATCCAGGCAGGGATGGAATCGTACGAGTGGCCACTGTTCAAACTGTTCGAGGTGTTTATACTCGTCCAGTCAATAAATTATTGCGCCTGCCTGACTGATTTAGAGTTAGTCAGTCTCCTTGTTTATCTTGTACATATTTTCATGTCTGTTTTTTGGTGGTTGGAAACCCTATTTTTTTTGTTTCTTTAATTGGAGTTTGACTTTTCCTTTCTATTTGTCTGTTTACTACCCTAGGTGGGTACCCATGTAATTTTCCTCTCCATCAAGTTGATTTCTTTTCCTTTAATTATTTCCATATGGAAGTTCCAATTTGGGTTTCTTGTGTTTTTTCCTATGTCGACATCCTATTTCCTAAAGCCCTTCGTGCTTTGGTGGGTGGTGATGTTTACGCCGATCGCCCTTTGAACCCTTCTGGAGGTCTCCGGCCGGTCGGCGAGTCAGTTGTTGCCTAGAGCCAAAGCAGAGAACACCGTTATACCTGCCTATCTAAACCCGTGTTGTGCGCCACTGATGGTTTTGACGACCTGCCCGTGTCCCTTAAGAGTTCGGTACCAAACGTCTGAATCCGCCGGAGACTGTGGGGCCCTACCTAGTCGAAGAAAGAAGAGGACGACTGGGGCCGAGCTGCTTGAACTCGTTGGGGTAAGTGCAAACTTAAAAGTATCCCAATCCCCTCCTCGGATTCACTCTTTAAATTTTAACATAAAGGTATTTACCCATTCATATACAGTCCACTTAACGAACAATGACTTTCTTCCTCCTTTCTTCTGCTTCACTATCTTTTTGGCTTTTTATCTTAGTTATAATACTATCTTTCTTTCTAAGTAGCTCTTATCTCACTAACCTTCTTTGTATATGCACTCAAAGACAAAAAGTAGACTATTTTTGAATTTATTTCACACTATATGTTGTATTTTTGTTGTTATATTAATTACATTATTTTTTAATTGTAAAACAAATTAAATGAGATCAGAAATTTATGAGTTTTAATTTTTTTTAAATGTGTTATTAAGAGGAAAACCAGGTAATAAATTGTTAGTTGAATTTATTCAACCAATAAATGAATTTCCGATGTTTTGGTGAATTTTCTTTCATAATTACAAAATTTTCATTAAAACTCATAAATTTCTGAACTCGTTTAAGTTGGTTTACATTAAAATAAACATTTTGTAATTAATATAACGATAAAAATACATACATACGGTTTGAAAGAAACAACAAAACAAGTGTCCATTTTTTTGTCTTTTAGCATATTTCTCATCTCACAAATTTCCCTACCCATAGGGAATGTAATCAACAATATCACATGAAAGCGCCTAATTGTGCGATTACGTGTGTTTAGTTCAGACCTGGTGAGATTTTTGACGTACGAAACTACCTATGTCAGCCTGCTGAGCTTTTTCTTACCTATTTTGTCCGATTTGTTTATACGGATGTGATCACACGTGAGTGATTGAATTAGTTCATTCTTTACGAACGTCTTCGTTTCTGCGCAAACTACAACAAACGTTTATCTTTTTTAAAATATTTATAAAACCTACACATACAAAATTATGATGCAAAATTGATGGCACAACTCAACCAATAACGAGTGATAAACGGATCCGACAAGTCTGTTCCAATAGGTCACGTCGTACAACTAAATTGGCCGTAGTCGGTTCCAGAATGTGACCAGGCTAATGAAATTTGTTTACAGCGGTCATAAACATTTTATTTTTTAATATGTCAACTTATTCTTTTTGAAATTCTAGTTGTTTCTTATCATTTTTGTTAATACCTGTGTTTTTTCTGCACTTATTTAGAAACACACTTATGATGGTTGAAAAGAAACTATTATGATGATTTATTTTCTGTTGGAAGAGGTATATATTTTTTAATTGGGGGAGGATTCTTTTTAAAGAAATTCGTTTCAATTTTTGCAAAATTTGGGTATATAAATGAAGTGAAATTTGTAGAGCTGAATAACATAAAAATAACACAGATGAATCGCAATTTATATAAATCAATTTTAATAGCCGTTTCAGTCTAAAAAATAACATAATTACTGCTTTTATAAATATTCGAATAAACCGATTCTGTCATGTATAAAAATAATTTTCTTTTGATTAGAAAATCATTTCAATAAGAAGCTTAGAGAAAACTTGACACACTCTGTGATGGAATTATTTGAATTCCGTTTGACGATTTGTGTCCGTATGAAAGGAAGGAGTTTGATTAGGGCAAAATTTCCCCTTTTTGACTGATACTCACAAACCAGTTGAGCATGGTGGTGTGCTGCGGGAGGGGGTCAGCAGGGCATGTTATCCGAGAAGTGAACACTTGCACTACAAACTACATTGCAGCCGAAGGCCTGACTAGAACTACACCTGGTCCTATCTGCCGACCCCCACCCACGTCAACATCCACAACTCGCGGCTATTTTTGAAGAGGGCTACAGCAGCTGTCGCGAATTCTTCCTATGGAATCAGTTCATTATTCGAGACAAGGGCCATTCCACAAGCCAACTCTTTGAAATAACAGACGGCCGTTTACCATTACCAATAATTGGTTTTTATTGATTGCAACTACAAGCTATCCATTTTTTTTTTCAATGTTTGGTATCGACCGGCTAAAATGTTCTGTTGTATTCGAAATATTTCACTTTAGACTTTAGTTCAACCTTTCATGATTTCATTCCATACAGTCCGCCGTATCTCATAAAAATATTATCCTAATGTAAATTTGATTAAATCATTGGAAAAAAGTTTTAAAAGTCCTATGAGATTCGTGTGTTTCTTTATTGTAACCTTATGCTAACAAAATACAAACTAATCTAGAAAATAAACGAGTTTCCAAAGTTCTTGTCTATAGTTTACGCAAGACTATTTTTCATTATGACTTGTTAAAAAAATAGCCTTTAAGATTGAGACACTTCTTTTAAAAAATAATGATCGTAATGCAAATTAAAAAACAACTCTTTATTGCAACATTAAGCACAAAAACAAAAGGTTTATTTAATTAAATGTTAATAATGTTAATAATAAATAAATGTATAATGTAATAAGAGTGTGAACATTTTAAATATTTAACCAATCAACCATGTTCAATTGGACATGAAAAATCTGTTTTGTTAACGTTTGTTATTTTTTAATAAAAATTTTTCAATCTTAATGATTAATATAGTTAAACCTATTATAAAAATAAAATGAAATTTTCAGCAATGAAACATTAATTTTCACATTCGCGATAAATGGCCTTAAGAAATTAAGGACACGTGTTTTAAACACTTTTGTAACGGCAACTTTTCTTTAAGCGCCATATCTGTCAATATTTACAGAACAAATAAAATCTTACTTAAACTTGAGACAAGAACTTTGGAAACTCGTAAAAGTCTATCTTGTAAGTTTTTTTATTGCCTAAAGTTACAATAAAGAAACCAGATCAATTTCA